AAATCAATATGATCATCCAAAAGGGAAGTATTGTAGAAAAAAAGGGTAGTAATGATTAATAGCTTTATTGACAATGTTCTTGTAAGAGGAGGTTTATTTGTAACCAATCAACTGCTCCTTATTGTGATTAATATTCCTTCTATTTTTTATTTTTTGGTAAAACCTTTATAGGAACCGCCCCCTTAGAAAGCTAAGAACATATGGCATACTCTTTAATCCAAATGTTCTTACAAGCATTGGCATTAATAAGAGCTTGTAGTGTTACAAGAGCTTCCTGAAGCAAAGATTTATAAATAGAGTGTATCTTGACTACTTCAAAACCCTTTTTGATCATCCTTAAGAGCTAAAATGGTATTAGTGATGTAAGAAGAAGAATCCAATTACCAAACTTGAGAGTTTTTTTTTTTTTTTCAAGTTTTTCATAAAGCAAGAAGAGGATCACCCCAAATTGTCCTATTCCAAATAGAAGCAACAATATCAAAAAGAAAGGGTAAGCAATATTAAAAGTAGCATTAGTTGTAAAATATTAATGTTTTCCTCTACATGTCATCCTTTTGTGCATATATAAAAGTGGCAAAGAATTTTATAGTAGAAATGTACTCCAATCATCCATAGATACATTCAACATTACATAAAAAAAGTGTAAAGGTGATTTTATTATCATTCTACTTGAGAAGAATCTTACTACCCTGACGCACATAAAAATTATCAAAGTTGCCCTCCTTAACATATAGCTTGTAATGCCTAGATAATAAAAGACAATCCAAGATAAAAGAGAATGACAGTTTTGTTTCCAACATGCAAAGCATGTCAATATTGACTTAACCAAATTTCTAGTCCATTAACGCGCTTAACTATTTAGCACTCCAATGTTCCGCATAACTATATTTGGGTTAGACATTAACACAAATTGGAAATAGCTTATAGAGTCTCGTTTTCAACCTTTATTCCCTTTTAGGAAGGGGAGGAATGATGGATGCTTGCACAATATTATCTAAAGCATGAGCATTAAAATAGGAAGTATTTCTTTCTTTTGAGCAAATTGAAACTGTTTTTTACAAATTTTTTTCAGAAAAAGTGGTCAGCAAGAGAGTGTAAGCTTACGGGATGGCCTTCTTGTCTAGAAAATCTGAGAATTTCACATGAAGATGCTAAGCTGTTAAATATGGATTTCCCCAAATAAGAACTGATCAAGGCCATCTTCAATCAAGGTAACAACAAATCCCCTGGTTTAGATGGCATCACTACTTTTTTTAAATTTTATTGGAAGATTGTGGAGGAGGACACTTGGAAGGCTATTGATAGGTTTTTTAAAATCGGTATTATGCATAATGAGGAAGGATACACTAATTGTTCTAATTCCCAAAATTAAAAAGCCTATTAATCTGTCCAACTATAGGCCTATAAGTTTGTGTCAAACAACTTATAAGTTTATGGCTACCATGATTTTAAATAGAATGAAAAATTACATTGCCAAGTGTATCACTGAAGAACAAGTAGCTTTTCATAATGGTAGATTAATGTCTGATCATTGTCTACTAGCTCATGAGGATTTTCATAAGCTTAGAGTTTTTAAAAGCAAAAAAGGTTTAATGGTGGTTAAGCTTGATATGGAGCAAGCTTATGATAGTATGAGTTGGGAGACTTTATCTCAAGTCTTAGACATGTTTGGTATTCCAAGGAAAATGACTATGCTTATCATGGAATGTGTTAGGAATGCTAGATTTTCCTTTATTGTTAATGGTAGAACTTCCAAGTGGATTATTGCAGAAAATGGCTTTAGGCAAGGTAGCCCTCTATCGCCGTATCTGTATATTATTTGTTCTCAACTTTTTTTTTTGGCAATGGAACAAAGGGGTCAAGATTTGGGAATTCAGGTTTCACATAGAGCTCAAAAGATTATCCATTTGCTGTTTGTTGATGATGTATTTCTTTTCTCTCAAGCTTCAAAGCATCTTGCCGTCAAGTTGAATAAAAGTGTATTGGAATTCTATTCCTGGACTGGTTTAAGAGTTAATAATGCCAAATCTCAAATTTTGTTTAGCAAGGGAATGAATAGAGTGGACATTTTACAAGTGAAGAAAATTCTGAAGTTTAAAACGGTTAAAGAATTTCAGTATCTTGGGGTAAAGCTGATGTTGAGAAGACCTTTGAAAGCTGATTTCAAATTTCTTCTAGATTCGGTTATGCAAAAACTGAACACTTGGGGAAGTAAGTGCCTGTCTTTGGAAGGGAAGGTTACTCTTGCTAAGACTTCCCTCTTAACTCTACCAAACTTTATTTCTACTCACACCTTCATTCCAAAGAAGGTGCTTCATGAGGTTGATAAATGTTGCAGAAATTTTATTTGGCATAAGAGGGATGGAAAGAAGGGTATGCACTTCATTGCTTGGAAAACTCTATGTAAACCAAAAGCTCAAGGAGGTTTGAATTTTCACTCGGCGGTTAGTAGAGCTGGTCCTCTCAAAGCTAGATTGACTTGGAGGTTGCTACAAAATCAGAATTCTTTATTACATCAGGTTATGACAGCCAAATATGGAGACAGTTGGTGGAAAGCTAAGTGTAGTAATGGAAAATCAATTGCTTGGAAGATCTTGAATGAAGGAGCTGAATACTTAAAGCCTCTTTTGAGGTTGAGAGTTGTTAATGGGAGGAAAATTTATGTTCTTAATGATATTTGGTTGTTAGACAAATGCTTGAATGATTGGCCAGTTACAACAGACTGTGTGGGCTTGGAAGGTCAAAGTCTCAGCCATTTCATTACTGAGAATGGAGGCTGGGATCTTGAGGAATTGCAATGCTTTTTTCATGAAGATATCATCAATATGGTGTTACAGATTTCAATTGATAGGAATGCTAATGAGGATTACTTGGAAGAGATTTGCTTTCTTTCTGGCAAATCCATCACAGCCCGAGCTTATGAAGTCTATAGCAATTGTAACAGTGGAGAAGGTGACATGGGATTTTATACTTGGTTGAGGAAATTAAAACTTTCAGCCCGTGTAGAACTTTTTTGGTGGAGATTGAGTAAAGCAGCAATCCCAACAAATGAATTTTTGAAGTATGGAAAGCTTACTAATGAAGATTTATGTGCTAGGGGTTGCCAAGAGATTGAAAAACTGGAACACATTTCTATCTGTTGCAAAGAGCTGCAGGATACTATTAGGCAGATTCAGAATTGGGGGTTCTATATTCCTATTTTTTATTCTATAAATGAGTGCTTAATTGAACTGAGAACTCTCTCTAATTTTGCACCTAATACAGTCGGCCTTTATTGCAATACTGTGTATCATAATTGGCGTAATAGAAATGCTGTGAAACATGAAAAAACTGCAATTTCCATTCCAGTTTTAGCAGCTAATGTGTTATATTATAGTGTTAAAATCTCTAATCCTTTCATTGATAGCTGGGGTGCTAATCTCCTTAGGGAGTTTCAAACCATTTGGCACCCTCCACCGCTTGATTGGATTAAGATTAATGTGGATGCATCTCTCCTTACTTCTTATAATGCCTGAATTGGAGGTTGCTTTAGAGACTATAAAAAGAGATTATTGATTGCTTTTGGTGAAAGAAGAACAAATTGGGATATAACTCATCTTGAAATGGATGCTGTTATGACTCTTAGAAGACTCATTCAACCGTGGATGCTTGAAAGTAAAGGAGTAATAATTGAAGGTGATAACATCAATGTTATCAAATTCATTCAACATTCTTTGAACAAGGCTAATTGGCAAGGTCACAATCGGATTGAGGAGGATTTTCTTTTCTTGGCCGATTTCAATAAGGTAATTCTTCATCATGTTCATAGAGATTGTAATAAGGTAGCCGATTTGTGTGCTACTTTGGCTCTTGGTAACAACTTTTACTTTGATAGTTCTTCTTTTACTAACATTCCTCCTTCTCCTTGTTCTTTATTGAAGAAGGAATGTGAGCCTTTTCTTTAGCCTGTAATTAGCTATTTTCTCTTAATTGCAAAATGCATTTTTCAAAAAAAAAAAAATAAAGAATTAACTAAATCATCCAAACTTTTTGATACAAGATCATCATTCCTATATAGACTAAAAAGTTTTTGACTTAATCAGTATTTCACCAAAATTGGTTGATGAAGCAAATACAACATCTTTATTGTCTAAATGGACATGAATAAAGAGATTAAAGCCTAGACCAGCAATAGAGGAGCAAGTACTAGGAGCAAATAAAAGAGAATTTTTTAAAAGCTCTTTCCTAAAATTTTCTCCTCTAGAATAGCTTATACTTCTTCCACGAGGAAAACTTAGTAAGATGAAGTTAATGTTTTTTATGTTATTTGATATTTTGCTGAATTGCAACCAATGGAATCACAATTAGCACATGAGTTAAGCTTCCATTCATATAAGATAGGCTGAACTTTATATTTTTCTTTTATTGTAAGATTGATGGCATTAGAGAATATGAATTTGGTGGAAACTTGTACACTCACCTTGGCAAAAGGATAGCCTTTTTTCATTAGAAGTGGGTCAACAATAGCAAAAGCAATTTTGATTTTGCTCATAATTTTAGAATTCCATATTGGACCCAAAAGCAAAGAGAAAGATGAAGAAGCTTAATCCAAATAGGAATTCCTTAAAATCAACTTCTGTTGCTGTGAAATTTGATGTTTATTTTTTGAAAATAATAGGAATTTCTTTAAAATCATCTTTCAAATGTGTAAAATTTAGGATCCATTGTTTGAAAATAGAAGCCCCCTATCATTAATAACAACACAAAAGGGAACCATCACTGCCAAAGGAGCTCAAACCCTAGCCAAGGACCCTCGCTTTGCTCTATTTCTCTAGTTGTTGGCTTTAGATGCTTTGAAGATATGGAAAGGGAAGCAGTGATATAATGACACTCAAATCGAAAATTTTCACTCCATATCCAGAATTGTGTCAAATTTTCTCAATATCAAGGACAGTGAGAACCACCCTCAGCCCCCCACATTCCCACCACCTGTCATTATCTCCAAGGAAAAAAAGAAATTGCTCAATCATATAAAACTTGAAAGAAAATAACGTGTATTGTCTCAATATATATATAGAATATACAACTCAACGCTCAAAAACAGGTTTTTGAGCAAGAATAGTAGAGACAATTAGAAGTTAGAAATCAGAAATAAAATGTGACATCAAAGAATCAAGAGCAGGAACATAAGGGAGAGCAGAAAATGCATCTCTACACGAAATAAACAAAAGAGCGACGGTCGACTATCGAGTGATTAAAACAGAGTAAATCCCTCCTATAAAGTTTAATAGTCAGCCAACAGACTAGCTTAATCCTCCTCATCCTCCTCGTGCATGGAAGCTTCCCCTTCGATGACTTCATCCTGAAAATATTTATATCAGGATATATAAAAAGTGCAATATATAAAATGTTAACCAAAATTTTTATTATATTTATCACATCAATTCAATAATTTTTTCAAATCTTCAACATTTCATATTGATGCAGCTCATCTTGCTCTTTTGGCAACAATAGATCTTGGGTTTCAATCTTCCGTATGTGATGTGTGTGTAAATTTGTCTTAATTTAACTAAATGTCCAACAAAAAAAATTGTATTGGATATGTTGGCCATATTTTGATGAGAATTGATATTTTAGCCAAGATAGATCATAACAGCTTCAAATTTTACTAATTATTATGATAAAAAAAATTGATTAGGATATATTAAGGCTTCGTTTGGGACCACTTTCTTACTACTTCTCAAAACAGCTTTTTAATACAAAAGTTAAAAATTATTTTAAGAAGTAGTAAGAAAGCCATCCCAAACGAAGCCTAAGACAAATCTTTATTACATTGCAAAAAAAAAAAAAATTATCATTTTCGAATAAATTTTAATTAAATTTAGTTTAAAATATGTATAATATATAAGAAAACAATCAAAATTTTGTATGGATGATTTTGAGATCAGCAAACTTATGGATAACATACCCTGAGCCAATTTTTTTCCTTGTAAATTACCGGATGAATTAAGTAATGAAAGAGATCGGATATAATAAATTGCCTGCACGTCAGAGGTCCAGAGAGTGAGGTTCTCTCGGAGGAGTTGCATGATCAGAGTGCTGTCCTTATATGATTCTTCGCCAACAGTGTCCAGCTCAGCGATCGCATCATCAAATGCCTGGAAACGATATAAAAGATAAATAAACAGTGAGGAATTATATAAAGCAAGTAAGCTACGATATTTAAGAATAGAAAGGTGGAAATCTGAACATGTAAGATCGGTTAAGATGCAATTAGTTAAGAGGGTGGAAAATTAGGCGCCTAAGTTGAGTTCAATACATCAAAAGATGGATACCCAACAAGTCAATAACTTAAAATAATAAGAGGGCACTGCTACATATAATAGGAAATCAGTTCGTGTTATACTAATAAAGTTGGGCTAATCACCACTCTCATGTATATCTCGATAAAAATAAGAAATAAAAAAATAATCAAATTAACATTGATTTGTGTATCTTTTTAGTCTATTATCAAGCAAAGTTGAACTACAAAAACAACAATATCAAATCTTTATCAAACTATAGCACAAAATGTTTATAACATCTTATTAAAAAGGACAACATTATTATTTATGTTTCGAGATAAATTTAAGGTGCACACTTTTTTTTGTGTTGGATAGGTATTTTTGTTATGCATTATTTAATATTTTGTGGCAAGTTAGAAATTTTATAATGATAAATAGAATTATACGTCCTAATTTTGCACAAAGATCTTGCACAAATACAAATAAACGAGAAGATTTAAGGAGAACTCTATGTTTTTACATGGAAAATTTTGAATGGAAAAAAAAATAGGGCTTGGCCTAGTTAAAATAATCTATTATGTCAAATAAATTACAAAAGCCTCTTCATCCCCTCAATTGGTGAAAACGGCATTCCAAATTATGCAATGCAAGGTAAACTTCTTGTGGTGAGGTGGAAAATAGTAGAGATGCAATGTAGGGATTATGATAGTGGCCAAATAATGTTAGCCAAACAATGATAATGATAAGATAATGATAGACAGGCAACAATAGTTGGGTGATGGCAGCGAAGTGATAGCAATTAAATGATTCATGTTGAATTTTCTAGGATAGACATCATTGATCCATTGAATACTCTTTTTTCTTTGTTGGGATGCATGTACGATTCAATTTTTAGTATTCTTATGTTTGCTAGAAGATTGTTCAAACAAGTTTTGATATGCCAATGGCCTTGTCACCAGTATATATGCTTCTACTCGATAAACATGATCAGGATATAAGTAGACTATTTCTCATAATATCATAATGAGGCATTGGATAAGCGGCATCAAATTGATTAGACCTAGCTTGTTGATGTTTTCATGGTGAGAGAACTACATCATGTTGTGATGGTTCTTTTTGTTATCCAACCTCCATTAAGAACTGAAGGATTTGAACTTGATAATCCACCATCATGTACATGTGATCCTCCAAAGTGAGGCCAAAGTAACATTTAACAACTAACTTGTGTAGACAATGATTGAATAATTATTTGTAAATCATTAAAAAAAGTATTTATAGAGTATGTTAAGAATGTTTCTCATATGACACAAAAATGTTGCATTCTAAATATTCACTGCGGCAAAGTGAAAGAATAATATCTTGAATTTGTATAAAGATCAAGCACATGCAGAGATAAAAGAATATTTTAACAGGGGACGCTATTATTTTAATGTAGAAAAAATGCATGGCCTAAACTAGCTATAATAGTCCACTATATGATTGAAATTATAAGGGTATGCTCTTCCCTGCAATTAGAGAAGATGAGACTATACAATTGAGAATAATTGTCTGGTGTCTACTGTAGGGATTACAAGAGAAATCATAGAAGGTGGAGGTAATCACACAACATCATTTAGATATAATGAAAGTCAATTTTTTGATTAGACAGATGATCGCAAATGGACACGATGCTCAGGAGATGATAGTCACACAAGGGTAATTGGACAAAGACAATTGAGCAATAATAGTCAAGCAATGGTAATCAAAAGACAATAAATGAACTATGAGTGCTGAACATCGAATAACAATAACAATCGGGCAATGGTAGTCGAACGATAGAGATCGTTGGTGGAGATTGAGGCGTCGAATGCTAGAAAGTGTTTTCTTCATATCCCTAAGCTCTCTCCAAGCTCAAGTCTAATTGCCCTTCATAGAAAGAATGGGGGTTTATTTACAGTATTTTGATAGTTGTATTTTGTTTGTTTATTTTGCATTTTAAGTATCTAGATACCTTATAATTGAATAATTTTAAACTCATTGGGTTCCTCTCATCGAGATGCTCAATTTGAATATAAACATGCAAGATGTTGAGACTATTTGGTCCTTCAAAGAGAGAACAGTGCGAAGAAGTGAAGTGAGATAAGGAGAGAGTGAGAGAGAAAGAGATTTGTACAATTTCTCCTAATTTTCAAAGTAAATTTCTTGGTGTGGTCTAGCTCTGTGATTTTTCCCTGGTTTCAAATGTTTTTCTACATTAAATCCTAGTGTTTATTTCCATTTTTTTTTCCTATTTGTTTTGTTGTGTGATTTACTTCCAACATAACAATTCTTATGTGTTTGGTTTGAGTATGAAACACAAGATTGTTGATTAGAGCAAGAGCAACAATATTGTCACAACGAAGGGGTGTTGCATTAGATACTAATATGCTAAATTCCAAAAGAAAATGAAGCCATATGAAATTCGTGTCAACAATGGCACAGGCCCCATACTCTACTTTGATAGGGGAACGAGCCATTATTTATTGTTTCGATACATACCATGATATTAATTAAAAGTTTAGCCTAAAAAAGCACAATTACCGGCTGTTGATTTTTTAGCATATGAATCACTTGCCAAATCTAAATGAACATAAGCTTGAAGTTGTTGTTCACTACAATGAATTGGTATGTCAAAATGTGCATTTTATATATAGAAGTAAGCGCTTAAGCAATCAAAAATGAATATTAAGCGGTTGGTGTAAATGTTGGTAGAGACAGTTGACTGCACATCCAAGATCAAGCTATGCAATAGTGAGGTTCTGCAAAGATCCTACCAAATGATGATACAAGATAGGATTGGCAAAGCCAGAAGTTAAATCAACAATAATCAAATCCTCAGTGGAAACATGAGTCTAAGCCGATTTACAAGTGATCATGACAGAGCGATTAAGCACCTCCATGCATATTGGGACTGTAATAGGTGTAAGCCATACTCGGTTTGCAATGTTTGAAGCCCAAGGAAACACGAGAGAGCTCACAGATTCTTTAAATGGATGAACATAAAAGAGTGATGATCACATTAGAGATGGACATAGAATTGTTTCCTATTAGCAAAATATCATCAACATAAATCATAATATAAATTACAATTCGATTTAGTTGGCATAAAAAAGTGATTGTTCAGCCAAGCTTCTGTAGCTTATTGGACAAAATAGCAAACCACTAATGAGGATCTTATTTAAGATCATTAATTGCCTTCTGAAGAAGACTAAAATGAAACGAACGCTCTGGATCCTTGAAATCGGAATGTTGTGACAAATTTACAGTTTGCATTTGAAATATGAGGTAGAAATGGGCTGCGAATGAGTTAAGATCACCATGAGAAAAGTTCAAATAGTCAGACATTTTGCCACCAGAAGGTTTAATTGTAGTCAAAATCATGCTCATATTTATAATCTTAAGCAAGCAAGCGACAAGTTAGCTTTGTAATGGTTTAGGTAACATTAGAATTGTATATTATTTTATACATCCATTCGCTGCCTGGAACATTTTGATCGGGTGAAGGTATCACTAAAGCCCAAGTACCTTACGAGTGGAGAATTTGGAGTTCTTGTGATAATGCTAATGGAGATCACCAGTTTACATTTTATTGCAGCCGAAGTATAGGAAGTTGGCACGGGCATATTGGTAATATGAGACGGGGAGAGAATCTACTTCGGTTTGAAATAACCACTGCGAGGCCGTGTTTGCATTGGATGACAATTTAAAGGATTAGTGTGTAGTCGTTGCGCAGGTAAATAACAAGGCACCGGCTTTTTATATATATATAGGTTCGTAGCAGTTATAACGTTTTTGTGAACTAGCATAATAAGGAAGCATACATGTGAAAGAATTGAGAGCAAGTTTATTAGGGGAGTATATACAAAGCCAGAGGAAAACAACCAAAGATACAAAGATGTGAATGAGATGATGTTTATTGTAAAGAAGTTGGCAATGGGATCTGTCCAAAACGGTGGGACAAGGAAAGTTGTTTACTGTTAGAGGAGCTTCAACCCATAGGTAAGATAGCTTTAAGAAGAAGAGTATGAACCGTTTCTATAATATGTCTGTGTTTGCATTCAACAAGTCAATTTTATTTAGGTGTATGGAGGCAAATAAATTGGTGTAAGATGCTCCATTAAGAAACAGGCTAAAAGTTTTATTGGTGTATTCACTATCTCCATGGGATCGTATGAGTTTAATATAAGTGTTAAACTAACATTTCACCAATTGTGTAAATTAAGAAAAGCAACAAGATGTTTCAGATTTCAATTTTAATGGAAATACCGTACAAAAATGAGAATACTCGTCAACAAAAGAAACATAATATTTATATCCATTTATGGAAGCAACTGGGTAAGGACACCATGCATTATAATGTATAATTTCAAGAGACCTATAGCTGGTTAACATAGAAGATGAAAAGGGTAATTTGTGAGGTTTAGCTAAGTGATATGACGCAAGAAAAAAAGATTTAAACTTAGGTGTGCATGGGTCTCCAATGGCATGGAAAAGATTTAAAAGAGATGAGTGATGAGGATTTCCTAGATGACGATGCCAAAGATATATATGGAACAAATCATGTAGAAAATAAACCAAGAGTGGTATGTTGCGGCCGAGTGAACATTATGGAGTCCTCTATAGCACAAACCTATCAAGATTATTTGGTTGGTCTACAGATTCGTTATTCAAAAGTTATCTGAAGTGAGATGCCACATAGATATTGGGAACATGCAAGAGTTGAGAAAGAAGAAGTTTATTGGTTGGAGTGGGAAGAATGCCTCGACCAGCATTAGGGAATGGCCACAAGGAACCATTTTTTAGTATCATCGATTGGGAGTATGGTTTAAAATTGCGCAATAAGAGACACGCCTCAGCACAATTTCGCCCCTTTAAGACTCAAAGCCCATGCAATGAGTTCAGGATTTGAGGCGTACGCCTCAAGGCGTGCCTCGCTCACGATTGAGAGGCGTCCGCCTCTAAAAATAAAAAAAAAAAAAAAAAAAAAAGCTAAGTACATGCTTGGTATCGAGCAGGTACATGCTCGGTACCGCTCGGTACCAAGCAGGTAGCACTCAGTACATGCTCGGTACCGCTAGGTACATGCTCAACACCGCTCGGTATCATTCCATACAAACAACATACAAACTTTGAAAACAAGTAGAACTCCATACATGCTCGGTACCACTAGGAAGATAACTGAAATTGAGGAAAAATGAGCTGATTGGGAGACATTGGACTCTATAGGAGAGGAGGAAGGGGAGAGAGCAGTTCATCATAATGATGATTCAAATGAAAACCCCCTTAGTGATGACAGTGCTGATGACTTATGAGTTCTTATGTGATATGTCATTATTACTTATTTTTGTAATTATATGTTAATGAAAAGAATATTGTGATTGATTTGAGAAAGATGGAGTTTGAGTTGAACTATATTTCATGTTGTCTTATTATTGAGATATTTTGATTTCACTTCATATCTTGTGCATTTTTACGTTTTATATATTAATTACTCATTAGTATATACAAAATTTATCATTTTATGTTTACGCAATTTTTTTTTATTTTGAGGCTTATGCCTCAAAACACCTTGAGGCTTACGCCTCGCCTCACGAACGAAAAACGCTTCAATACCCGATTACGCAATTTTAAACATTGATTGGGAGCCCTGATACTATTTGGGATTATGAAAATTAGCTAAGTCTACAGTAAAGTGGGAAATCACACTAGAATTAAGAAACCAATCAATATAAATGTTGGTCGACCACGCAAAATGAGCTAGAGTACTGGTAGGAGTGTTGTTGTAGTTAAGATCTTGATGATGCCAACATTTGATAATTGACAACCAATTTTGTCACAATTTTAACAAATAAGACGTTGAGAAGTTCCACCACCACAAGATGCACAAAATAAAGGTTGACTGAAGACATTGTTTGAGTTGGAACCCCAACCTCTACTAGAATTGGGAAAGGAACAACCATGACCTCGACCATGAACTGCAAAGAAAATCGAGGGGAAATTGGTGGGCTAAAGATTTTGAAGTTTATGACTCGCCTCATTAGCTATGTTGGTTTCTTCATTGCATAGCAAGGAATATAAATCATTGAGCCCAACAAGTTGGAGAGTGACTCTAATAGAAGATTTAAATGAATAATATGCAGGAGGAAATTCATTTAGAGTGTAGAGAACATTTTTCCGATTGGGCGACGAATTAGTAGTGCCAATGGCATCAACCTAGACCTTAAAAGTATACAAATATTGAATTATAATTTGCACTTTAGTGGAAATATTGTGAAAGAATATTCTTTAGTTGGATAATCATGCATGACTAGTAGATTGTAAGCGACACTAGATTGTTGCCCGGATTTGAAAATAAAAATAAAGTAAGAACATAAGAAAGAAACGGAGCGGAGACAATAGAGTACAGGGGAGCGGCCAAGTTCTAATCAATAAGCATGGAACTAGGTATTACGAATTAAAGGAAACTAAACCATCCTTAAGAAGAGAAACCTTTAGAGGACATGGGATAGAACCATCAAGAAAAACCCTCAAAGCTATTGGCTCTAAAACTTTAAAGAACTTGAGACTTTCTGGAAAAATGATATCCTACAGTAGGGGGGGCGTAAATGAGTCGAGCCAAGCTCGAGTCACCCTTGGCTTCAGCTTGAGCTTAATTAATTGATTGAGTTTGAGCTCGAGCTCGAGCTTAATTACAATCCTATTCTGGAGTGAGCTTTCAGCTATGTATGAATGATTTTTTATATTGGAGATTAGAAATTTGACCTCAGTTGGTATTGCGGTATTAGTTAGTATTGGCTAGTCAAAGATTTGCTGCAGTGTCCATCCGGAGATCTTAGAGTCTTCCATGATATGGAAAGGAAGAAAGACTGGAACACGAAGTCTAATCAAATGCAATGACAAGGGCAAAGGTAATTTTTATCAAAACGTGGATAGTAAAAGAGACTCGCTACAAAAAATCACCATTTTGCGGCAAAAGAATTCGTTGAAAAATAAGAAAAATCATTCACAATATCCGATTTGCGGCGGATTTCTTTCCGTCGCAAAAATTTGCTTCACAATTTTTTTGCGACGAAAAGATCTGCCGCAAATATTTGTGGACGATTTGCGGTGAAATTTAAAAAAAATATAAAAAAATTAGAAATTTGAACATAACTGGCTGCCCGCTACCCAAGGCTGCATGAGCTTGATCGCCCCGTATGCCCGCTCCTGCCTAACCGCCCGGCTGCTCGAGCTCAACCGTCTGCCTACTCCCGCGTGACCGGCTACATGACCGGATTGCCTGTGCCACATATCCTACCAAGGATTTGGACCTACTCCTCTTGCAAACCAACCCCTTCTTTACTAGGCCTTGGAGACAAAATCCAATAGAAAGCTTTTTTTAAATTTTATATTATAACTCAACTTGCGGCGAATTCGCGACCGCAAATTCAACAAAAAAAATAGTCCAAAATTTTTGTCGCCATTTTCAACAAAAATGATCCATTGGAAAGTCTGGCGTAATCCGACACAAATCAGTAACTTTACGGTAGTGATTGTTACAAACGAGCGGTGGTGATGAAAAGATCTCGTTGTGGGAAGAAACTACTATCATAATGAGCATCAATTCTAGAACAGTGGAAAGAGAAATTAGGGGCAAATTCTATGATAAGGCAACGTGTTTGGAGATTCACCTGCTTCGCAAGAGCGCAAGCCCGATCAAGAGCGTTCAATATCTCATAGTAGAACACGGAAAAGTTGAGCGCGAGTCCCAAGCGAATCGGATTAATCGGTGCAAGCTCTGCCGTAGCAATGTCCTGCAGAACAAACAATCATAAAAATGTTATAAAAATATCAATGCAATGTAACGGAAAAAAAAAACATCTTTTGTGAAGAGGCAGGAAATAAAGTTACGAGATCTCCAGACCGGAATCGAAGCCATTAAATCACTCACATCTTGAAATAAACAAAAAGGAAATCAGGTCATGCGGCAGCTCTAACCTGGGCAGATGTGTAGGCGGAAAGCGTGTTATCGGCGGCCTCCTTGCGTTCAGATCCGGTCTTGAACTCGGCAAGATATCGATGGTAGTCGCCCTTCATCTTTAGAAAAAAGACCTTGGAGTCATTGGACAATGCCGAGGGGAGGAGGTGAGATTCCAGCAGCTTGAGTATTCTGCCACAAATGGATGTTATCTCCGACTCGATCTTAGCCCTAAATTCCTTGATAGCGGCGAGGTGATCATCATTCCCGCGACTCTCCTCCTTCTGCTCTATCGACGACACGATCCTCCACGAAGCCCGGCGTGCGCCGATCACGTTTTTGTAGGCTACCGAGAGGAGATTTCGCTCTTCAATGGAAAGCTCCCCATTCTCCGTCGCCATCTCCGTAACCTTCTCCATGAACTCCGCCATTTCCTCATACCTCTCAGCCTGCTCAGCGAGCTTCGCCATGTAGACGTTATCCTCCCGGGACTCTGCCATCATTACGTTCGCACAAAACAAACCCTAGAAGAGATTGAGAAGAAGAATAGAATAAAACAGGAATAAATCGAAGGAAGGAAGAAACTTGATTTTGGTGAAGAAGCTTTGTTTCTCTGTAATTTATTCGTTTTGGGAAATGGTTTCTGCGGTGGCGCGTACGAGGAGGAACAGAGACCAGCCGCGAGCGCACAGCTGTACAAACTGTATCATTTCAAACGGCAAGTACTTTCACCACCGTAAATCTTCTTTTTATTTTTATTTTTTTATTTTTCCAAAGATGAGCTATAAATTTAAAATGAGCGGCCAAAAAAGTTTATAATTTTGAAAGTTTTCTGAAATTATTAGTTCACCAATTATTCTCAATAAAAAAAATTTGACTTTATATTTCCTTGCTATATCTTATATTACTCAAAATTAATAAAATATGTTTGTTATTTAGTTTTATAGGAGATATGTTTTAAAATTTATTTAAAAGTAATTTAACTCTCTTTTATTTATTCATAATGCTTATTGAAGTCCACTCTAAATAAATTTAATTTGAATTCAAGTTTTATTGCAACAATTTTTTTTTAAATAAATTTGAACATATTTCAAACTTGGTTCAACCTTGTTCACAAGACCTGATCACATGATACCTTCCCCAAGAGTACATTTCATCCCACTAATCATGAGATCTTATCCACAACAAGCTCCCATTGCAGCTGTTAGTCCCATTAAAAGGCCCTCTTATTGCTCCTCACACATGTAACCTTCAACGAGCATTGTCAATCATGATGTCACCTCCAACTAGCTTCACCAGTCCTATAACGCTAGCTTCAACAAAGCGATGTCAGCTCTATTGACCTTTGCAGTCACGTGATACCAGTTTTGCTAAAGCAATGCCAACACCAAAATGCTTCATCGATACCATAAGCTCGACTATCACATGCTTCATCAGTCCCATCCACGAGCCCCCAACCATGTCTCATTGTGATTCTGCAATGCTTGCTACACTAAGGTTTGTAATTAGGTTTCAATCAAATTAGATTCAAATTGAAGTTCAAATTTGAATAAATTTAAACCATGTTATTTTTTGGGTGAACTTCAATATGCATTATGTGTATGCAAAACAAGGATAATTTGACCCAAAATAAATATTCTTGCATATTTTCTCAAGAAATCAATTAGCTAACATATTTCTCCTATTTTAAGCATTTTGAACCTTTAAATTTTCTTTAAGAAAGTATTTATTTAAGCAAGCTTTTTGACAAATGTTTTTATCACCTAACTATTAACTTCATTATTTCAAAATATTTATCCTATTTTTATATTAAAAAAATTATGCAAGTGAGTTAGCCACACTCCACCTATTAATTTCATGTTTAAAGATTTGTACAGGTAAAAAGACTATTGTTTAAATGTTATACAACAAAAAGTTTATGTATGCAAAAATTAGAATAGTTGTGAGTTGTACAAACAAAATATGTAACTTTTCATGAGAGAAATAAGGAAAGAAAATTCATAGAGGTTAACCCAATAGAAATATTTTTAGTGGTGTGAGTGAAAGATAAGAGAATTAGGAATATACTAGCACGTGCTGGGATATTTGGACCATCTTAGTGTTGTACAAAAAATAAAATATATATATTCATATTTAAGTTTGGAGTATTAGATATTGAAATTTTGAGTGGATTCGACTTTTAAAGATTAGTAGCTATCAACTCAAAGTCTTCTCCACATATAATAATCATGTCTACCATCATATGATTTCTTAATAAACGAAAAGTTAAATGTTATGATGCAAAACTCATTCTTCTTCTTCAACAGTTATGGATGGAGACAGAGATCAAATAAATGGTTGGAGTGATCATATGCAAGTAGTTATCTTGACTGGTATCATATTGAGGAAATTCTCTATTGGGTGGTTAACAATAACTATTGAAAGATCAAAAGTGATAGTTGAAAGTTAGAGTCACAAGAGAAAATTGAAAACTACCAAAGTGGATCATGACATGCAAATGATGGAGATGACATGCTTTTCTCTATCTTAGATTAGCATAGTAGTTAGAAGAATCATGCTTAGGTTTGAAGAGGGAAAATGAGTGAGAGAGGAAAGAATACTAGTAAGATAAAAGAGAAAATAATATTAATGATAATATTTGTAACATACTTTTACCTTTATGTTATTGAATATTTTTCACTTTGTTCAACAAATTTAAAAGTGAGACCAAGGCCTATATCATTTATTATTTATTGGTTCATACCATGCTCCTCTCTTTGCTAGCTCTTAGACAACCTCCATACAAATACCTTTAAATATCTTGAACCACTTCCATGGACCCTAAAACAACCTCCCTCTTCACTCACTATAACAGACCAAACACTTAACTATCAATATATTATCAGCATTTATCTAAGGGCCTTACAGTTTTTATCCTATGATTTAACTTCCTCTGAGTTCACCCATCTAAGGATTTTTTCGGGATGCGCACGCTTAACTGCAGAGTTTCTTAATAAAATTTTAATTCTTATACTAAAGGCGCCTAAATGTTTAAGGTTTTAGCTTCTTTTACTTAAAAGTTTTCACATCCATAATCTCCACCACTAAAACCTCACAACTTCACCCCCCACCAATACTAAGGGTTCCACCTCTTTAACCCCACTAAGGCCTTCTCGAATTCTTCCCCATAACAACCTCTACAACAACATTCAACCATTCCATTTGTCAACTTTCTTTTCCCAAAGTCTTCTAAACAATTATACCTCTCTATCCCTACACTCAACCATAACTACTCCTTGGACTATACCATTGCAAACGCCTTGACTCCCATTAAAGCTTATACTAGCCATCTTCGTACCCTCAACAAAATCAACCACTTCACCTCCAAGATTCAACAAGTAAGTTTTTGACTTCATCTTCAAAGATCCATTTTGCATATCCGACAACATCTTTCTAAATTTCATGATTAAGATATATGCACCAATTTTAATTTCAAGCCTTAGCAATGTTTATGGGGTCAAACTAAGTTGTTATATTTAAATTGTATTACAATATTGAATGTGTATAACAAGGTCCATATAAATAAATAAACAAATACTAAGTTAAGTTCTAAAAAAGAATCAATAATTCTAATAATGTTAGAATCATACAAAAATGCTTGTAAGTATATATTTAATAAAAAACATATTAAAATTGATTCATATGCTACAAAAATCTTAAATTTGTTCACATAAATTTATTGAATATTCAATTTTGAAAAACTAATTCATGATAAATCAAAGTATTTTTTTCAATTATAAAATTAATTAATTTTTATTATAATAGCAAGGTTATGATAAAACCATAATTTCAACTGAAGTAAGGATTTTACAAAAAATATTAAATTTAATTCCTAATCACATTTTTTAACAACAAATATTCATGCATTTATAATAATTGATCATTAAATAATACTATAACTTTTTTTAACATGTAAGAGACAAAACTAATATAAGGACTATAAAAGAAATGAAAAAAGAGGTTAGAAGTTTAATTAAGTATATTACCTTGTACTATGCCTTCCAAATATTGAATTGAATAGAAGATCCACTTTGAAATATATGTACACAAATCCTTCATTGGTATGAATTCTTTAGTCCTCCATGAAGACATATTATAAAACAAATATAGTTATTAGATTTGATACTTAAATAAGTTTGGGTCTACTTTCATTAATAATAAAAGTAGTGTTTGCAAGCATAAGCTATGATGAATTAAACTTGATGCCTTTAAAATGCAATGTTGTTATGTACCTTTCAATGCATTTGGTCACATCAGAGGTATTCTATCATCTAACCTACCAACTTATGAGTGATTTAGGTTGAGTTAGTAACCAATTCTTCTTGCACCATTTGAATGCAACGTACCCTTTGAGTTCATCTTGATGCCAGGCTCTTTCATTTTCGTTTAATTTTTGTTAACCTTCTTCAAATGTTACACCATGCCAAACCTTAGAAAATATTAATATTTCATTTGCAGAAAATGTAATGATATATTTAAGTTCTTTAAATTCTTATGAGACTACCAGGATCCATTACAATTTTAGATAATCAAGTTAAATTGGATTTACTAACTCAAAATCAGGCTCAATCTAAATAATTTTTCTAATGATCGAAGTTATTTAAATTATCACTACATTCTCTCTTTCCTAGGCCATAATAATCACATCGAGCTTATTGTATTATGGAGAAATGGTAGTCAAGTGGGCGAAGATTGAGATACATCATTCTCATAATCTCTTCCCAAAAAAAAAACCTCTACTCTACCCCAAGTGATATGAATTCCATGAATTCAAGTCATTTGATCCTCCTAAGTTTGTAAAGTTAAATATGTTTCTTATAGATTGGAAAAATTGTACTGCCTATATGGATGCATACAAATACTCTTGGAAGAGTGCTCCCCTCTAGGATTTACTTTCTTGCATATATTCACCTTAAGGCTTAAGGACTATGTTGAGAGAGAGAGAGAGAGAGAGAGAGAGAGAGAGAGAGAGAGAGAGAGAGAGAGAGATGCATTTCAATGTGCTCTAGTTAATATTATTTAAGTATCTTTTGATCTTTGATATAAATATGTCAAAGAAAATATAAATATCTCATTTGCAAAAAATATAATGATATATTTTAAGTTCTACAAATTATTATGAGACTACCGAGATACATTAAAAATGTTAGATAATCATGTTAAATTGGATTTGTCAACTCAAAATCAAACTCAATCTAAAATAAATTTTCTAATGATCTGAAGTATTAAAATTAACAATACTTTCTCTCTTTCCTAAGCCATAATAATCATATCATATTTAGCTTATTGTATTATGAGCATTATGAAATTGTCCAATTTTCGGTAGATTTTTCCTTTCTGACAAAAATTAATATTTCCGACAGCTTTCCAATTAACAGAAAATTTCTAAAAGTAAACGCTGTGCAGGAAAGACTTTTGCTAATAAAAAAGCAGTTGGAAATTTTTTCTGATAGAAAATATCTATCAGAAAATTAAAAAAGAAAGAATAAAAATCTGCCCTATCTTTAGCAGCGCGCTCGCGATAGATGGAGCTACCCACACCTGCCCACCTTGCCTGCTCGAGAGCCTCTGCCGCACTGTCTGCTTGCTTGATGTCCATGAGATTTGAACTTTGCTCATCGAAAAGGTCATCAAACGTCCAACCACTTCACCGTAAAGGAAAAAAGT